GTTACCTGTGCACCGAGTAGAAACGAGTTTTTAATTAAACCTTATGAATTTAATGGCACAAAAGCGACCGCCGGCGCGTTTCCGTGGACGTCGAGACGCTCGCGGAATCTCGTAAACCGGCCCTTTTTAATAACTCGTCGCCGGGCAGGGCGAATTTTAAGCGACGATGTCACGCTGCACGCTCTGCATGCTTAACCGATATTTGTCGAGACTTTTGCCGGGAAAAGGAAGAAAAGGGAAATAAAACGGGGAGAAATTCGCGATTCGTTTATATCGCGCATAACGGACGGTGGTCTAGGAAAGAGAGAGAGAGAGAGAGAGAGAGAGGAGTACCGGAAGGAGAGCGGCGTTTTATCGAATATTTTATCGAAACAGCTTGGTCGGAGTGGTTTTTGAAGGTTCGTTGCTACGGAATAAGGAACCGCTTGTTTATCGAGGCACTCGAGTCCTCTCGTCGAGGTAAGTTCACCAGCTAGTAGTATGTAGCAATTATTGACCGGACGTGGCCCTGTTCAGTCAGGCCGGCATAGATGTCGCGCATACTCTACGATCGACTCTACTTCGCCGTTGCTCTAGCGTTCTCGAGAGAGGGCTGTTTTTAATGCGACGCGTCGCGTCTGCGGAGGAAGGTTAAAAATTGATGGCCCGTCGTTGGTCGACCGCTTTAACGGTTTATGGAGACTTTGCAAAGGAAATTTAAGCCGGTCTTATCGAAATCTGTTTGCCGTGATGATATCGAGGCGACGCTTAATGCTCTCGAGAGAAGATTTTCCGTCGACGACGACCCTGGGTCGCGGAGGACCGCGAAGGGCAGGGACAACGGGAACCAAGTCCATTAAATTAATCCAGATTTTCGATAGCTTTCGACGCGGTGGAAAAATGCGAAGGAAAATATGACGGGTGGAGGAAGACGTAAGAACGGCCGCGAGACTTATCGTTCTCAGTAGGGAGACACTTGATAGCCCGGTGGGAAGAAAAACAGCCGTCGGTTTTGCTCTCCACTGCGTCTTCCATGGCGTCGGGGCGGCCCGCTGTAATAGAGCTCTCAGACGCAACGAAACGTCGGTTGTTAGCGGATACCGTTGACAGATACCGAAAACAATGGCGCGCACTTCAACGCGTGCTTTTAACGGCAGGGACGAAGTCGAAGAAAGCGCCACCCTGTAGAGTGCTCGCCATCGAAATCGCTCTTTCGTTGCATCCATCTCCATTAACAGGTATGCAACGCTCTGTCGCGATTTTCGTCGCTCGTTTGTACAGCCAGACGAATGCAAATTCCTGGCAATCGTGACAATGCTCGCGGAACTTCTGACCCCCCCGCGAAAGGTTAGAGAGGCCAGGTTGGCTGGAACCGCGCGAAATTCCCGTATCCTTCGCGCCCTTTCTTTCAACCCTGTCGATTTTTCACCGCGACGTGTCCGAATTCCTGTCCTGACGCGGAAAAAATCGTGGCCATCAATTCCCCGTGGAAGGCCGGGCTTCTTTCGCGCAAAATGTAACACGCGAATGGCTCGAGTATCCAACTAATTAGTCGACCCACTTTAGACCGGGTGCTCGAGCTGAGAGGCAGTTGAAACAAAGTTTTAGTACGTTGACGACGAGCTGGCCTTACCGGAGGCCGGGAAAAAGAATAACAAAAGGTGGTATTACGTAAATAGAAGTGCGACGTTAGGCGGTGAAAACGCGCAATTACCCTCGATCTTCGAGCCATTAGATCCTTCT